AGGGGAACACAGCCACAATTTCAGCGTTATGTTACAGATCCAACAGGTTCATTTGTGTTACTTACAGTGTGCTAATATGGCCTAACTTTAAATAATGCAGACAATATGTTCATAAAAGAATGAATGAAACACGACTCAATTACTCTAAGCCAGGGATGGCAAACTCATTTACAAGGCCAGTGAAACTCGCCTTTCCATCAGCATGAAGTTTAACTACACAGTTAACCTCTAAGATAGCTGAATATAAGAAAAGAGGAGAAATTTGTACAATATTTTTACATGACAAAAATATTCTGCTGTGGTAAATGAAGGAAATGTTAGGATGATTTATAATTGGAAGATATAAATGTGTAAAATTACAGAAAAAATAAAAAAAATTAGTTTCTTTTAACAGAGAAAATATCCAGTTTCTTTGTTTTACTTTTTTTTTTTTTTTTTTTTTTTACTGCAGAAATTTTGCAGTAGATCATAAAAAAAAATCATCTATAACTTAATTACTTTGGTATAGCTGAGCTGAAAAGCGTATTAAAAGACAATTAAAACTCCAAAATTTATGCCTTCCTCCTTATTTTCCAAAGCTGTCCAGTGTACCGGATTGGAATCTTTGGCGGGTTGATTCTGGCCTCTGAGCCTTATGTTTGACACTCCTGCTCTAACCCCCTTTCTTAAATTATAATCTACTCTGTATTTAATGATGCAGTGAGTGACTGGAACAGACTGATCTGAGCTCAAAGGATTAATCTTTAAAAGTCTCAGTGATTAACAACCTTTGGTTCCAGTTTTTTAGATGTAAAAATACAAACGTTTTCTGAATATTCTATGATATTATGAATATTTTTAACAGGAGACTGCTAATCCAATTGTTCAAAATTTAGCATAATCCGCTCTCTTCCAGAGTCATAGTGGGACTGGAGTGAGAGGTGGGGTTACCAGTCCATTGCAGGGTTAACACATGCACACCTATGGCCAACTGGGAACCTTGATGTAACCTCACCTGCATGTTTTCAGTCTGAAAGGGGAGAATATGCAAACTCCACACAGCCAGCTACTCTATCGCCCAATTTACCATGATCTAAAATATTATTTAAAAGGACCAAACTCTTTTTCACAATGTCGTCCAATACAAGCCGAAGAAAAAAAAATCTGTTTTTTTAACACTGATGTTGTTACTGAACAGAAAATATTCAATAGCTTAATATATAAATCTCTGGCATTACACGTCTCATATCACTAACAAACAGCAGTACATAACAGATTTGTTCCTGTGCTGATCGGTCTGACCTGAGGTCTTTTAAGCTCCTGGGCCACCTTGGCGTTGTGATCACATAACTCAGCAAACGGCTTCCCGCTCAGGAGGTAGAGTTGTGCCGTCTTGACAAACCAGTCCATGCGGTGACTGTCCAAGTCCGTCTCAAAGACGCTGAGAGCACTGGACACATGTGCAAACTGTTCTGTCGGGTCGGGTTTCTTGAAGAAAAACATGGGGTAGCGGCGGTCGCCTCCGGGGTACGGCTTTCTGTTGGCATCACTGGTGATTAGACTCTCCTTGGCTGCAAAAGCCAAGTCACCCAGCAGTCCAAAGCACAGGCCCTCTGGGTTAGCCTTGTCCACAGGACGTGTGGCATCCTTGAACATATGCTGGTAGAGCGTACTGTCTTTAGAGCCAGAGAGCAGAAAATGAGGGTCATGCTGGTGTCGCCACACAATTCCAGTAGTCACATCCTTGTGTTCCTCAAAGGTAGCAAAGGGAATAAAAGGTCTGCGGATGTCCCACACATAGATGTTATGGTCCACCATCATGGAACAGGTGGCCAAATGAAACTTTCTCTCAGGTCGCCATTTAACTCGTGCCACTGAAGCAATCGTCTGGACGCAGTAGATCTCCTTGGCTCTGTTAGTGGTCATGTCCCAAACCTTCACCATCTTGTCCCTGCCCCCCGTTGCCAGCCAACCCCTAAAATGAAATGAGGTGAACGGCAACAACTGTGTTAATTCAGGCTTCAAAAAAATGGGTCTACTGCTCTACAAGGTTACAAGAAACATGTTAGCAAGGAAAAGCTGAAAATTTTTATTTTGTGTCTCATATTTCTTTTCTTACCTGTCATCAGGATGCCAGTCACAGCAAAACACCGGACCGGTGTGAGCAGTGAACATTCTCTCATAGCGGTCCGGTCGTCTAATGTCCCACAGCTGCACGTTGCCATTTTCAAAGGATGCGGCGAATGTGAAATAATCCTTCATGCTGAACTGGACATCCCTTACACTCTCTGACTGACCTAGAAGAAACAGGGGAAGTTAAGGGATGACAGCATTACTTCTGACAAGTGAGAAAGACTTCATTACATTAGGTGAACCATAAAAGTGTTATTAGTTCAGTGTCATTAGTCTAAAACTGGAGTTAACTCCTTCTTCATTAAATCACTCTTTTCCTGTAAAGAAAAAAAAAAGTATTTCTTTAATTACATGATTTTATTTTCACCGTTTAGTGAGAAATTCTACATTTTGTATCTCTCTACCACAACTACAGCAATCCAACCCTTTACAGCTCTGAACCACAGACATCAAAGGTGTCAGTATAAAGGGAGTTCTGTAGTGTACGCATTGTAAAGTTCTCACTTCACATATTCTCAACATATTAAGAAGAAACAGCGCTACTGTTTCATGCAAAGACTTACGTTACATTACACATGAAAGAGTTGTTGCAAACTAAATTACCTGAGAAAGTGCTCACAGACTCCTTCTTGCGCAAGTCGAAGCACTTCATGAAGCCGTCCTGTGAACCACTTAGCAGCATGTAAACCTCTGTTGGGTGGAAGCACACTTTGTTGACGGTGCGCTTGTGCTCAGTAAATAGCTGGTCCTGCTTGTTGCGAGAGGGTTTTCCCAGATTCCACGTCACCACCGCTCCGTTGGTGGCCGCCGTAGCCAGCAGGTTCTCCTCCATCTGATGCCACATGACATCGGCGCAGCTGAAGTTCAGCGACGGTTTGCGGCCGACGCGGAGATTCAGTTTTTCCACGAACTGCTCCTCCTCGAGTGCGTAGATCTTAAAAATGTTCCGTCCTGCTACAACCACCTGCGTGGCATCACGGCACACGCTGATCGCGTTAGCCGGTGCGTCCAAGTGGCAGAACATGGTTCTGCCACTGATCGCATTGCTGCCAAGAGCTGTGGTGACCCTTGACATTTTTTCCATGTTTCTGTTGCAAAAAATAATAACAATAATAGTAAAGACAATATACTTTGTCCCTGCTATCAGGTCAAACCCAGTTAATGTGACATGAGGCATTAGGTATAGAGCTACAAATACAAACTTACAATAAGGCTGTTAGACTCCACCAGCAGGTGGCACTCAAGCAAAATAATAAGTTAGAGTCATACAGCACTTTCTAGACTGGGTGGCAGCATGTCACAAATCAATAATAACCTGTGTCATATGTATGTCATCTGTTAGTTAAACATGTGTAACAGCTTATTAATGCAAATATCTAATCAGCCAATGGCAGCAACTCAGTGAACTGAGGCATGTTGTTTTCTTGGAGATGACCAGCTGCAGTTCAAACGGAGCATGAGAATAGGACAGAAAGTGGATTTAAATGACTTTAAATGTGGCATTGTTGGTGGTGCCAGACAGGCTGGTCTGAGCATTTCTGAAACTGCTGACCTGCTGGGATTTTCTAGGGTTTAAAGAGAATGGTCTGAAAAAGAAAAACTACCAAGTGAGCGACTCTCTGGGTGAAAATTACTTGTTGATGTCAGAGGATAATAATCAGAGTGGTCTGAGCTCATAGGAAGGAAACAGTATGTGAAATAACAGCCCAACACAACTAGACCATGCGGAAGAGCATCTCTGAATGTACAACACATCGAACCTTGAAGCAGCAGAAGACCACTAACCGTGAGTACCACTGCTGTCATAAAAGAACAGGAAACTGAGGATACAATTCAAATTCAACCAGGTTCACAAAATCAGTCTCAATTTCTGCTTTTACATTCAGATGATAGGGTCAGAATTTGGCATGGATACACCCTGCCTTGTATCAAAGCTTTAGCCTGGTGATGGAGGTCTAATCGGCGTGGGGGATTTTTTTGCCACACTTTGTCTCCACAGTCACCAAATCTCAGTGTACTAGAGCACCTGTTCAATCCGCAGTGACTCTGTGATGCTATCATGTCAATATGGACCAACATCTCTGAGAAATGTTTTCAGCACCTTCTGACTCTATGACACTTTTAATTAAAGCACCTCTGAAGTAGAAACGGGTTCCAACCTGATAATAGCAAGGTGCACCTAATAAAGTGGCCGGTGAATGTTTATAGAATGCAATGACATTCTGAAATGTTGCAGTGTAGTTACACTACCCGACACGTTATTGCTTTAAGTGCATGCAGTTTCTAAATACTCTTATGTATCCTGCTTTTAGTAAAAGCTCACCCTGTGGGTTTGTTTGATCTACTCATCCTCTTACGACTTGTAGCCGCTTGGTGCTCACGTGATTTACTTCACCAAGTAACATAAACACACACTAGCTGGCAATGTGGCTAGTGTTTATGCATACTAACACTTTAACCGTTCACCTTCTTAATGCCACGTGTTGTTGGTGTTTATAGTTACTTCTAAACTTGTCTTTACACATCTATTTCTGACTAGTAATTGGCTTGTAGTTTACGCGTCTCCTGCTAAGTTGGCCACAAGCTGCAGAACTCTCTGTACTAACCATAAACATGACTGGAATGACATGCTAGTGCTAGCTGGCTAGCACCAGTCGCCGAGCAGGTTTGTAAAGACAAAGCACAAACGCTACAAGTATTTAAACAGTCTGGCAGATAATTTAAAAAGCTATCAGATTAAGAAAATTCACGCGCATAAAGTAAAACACAACAACTTCTAAGAACAAACCTTGTGCTGTGAAGCTCGCCTTCTTGCAGCACCGGAAGTAGTATTTTGTTATCATCTCGCGGGATTTCCGTCTGAAATAACAGAAGCGACCATCACGCGGCAAAAACTTACTACTGAGCAGACGTTAGAAACGATCTGGGTGGGTTTGTTTTTGTGTCACGTGTACTTCAAAATAAAGGCGATATTTTCTGAATCACCGCAATACATTAGGGCGAAAGCAACACTTGTTAAGCTCAATGTTATTTATTTATTTGGCTGTGTGAAATAAATGCTTCTGTGTTTGCAGGTGATGGTGTGAGCTTTCTGCTGTCATGAGCGCTCTGTTTGCGTGTGAGGAGCCAGGCGCATGGAGGAAAGTGTATGAGAAATACTGGGATGTAGTGGAAGCCAAGGCCAAAGTCAAGAAACCTGGGAAGCTGCTGGACCTTGAGCGGTGGTAATCCCCTATTCCACCTTTTTATCCATGTCAGCTGCGATTTAAAGGTCTCCAGAAAGCTGCGAGCGGACCTGAAGTTGGGGTTGTATAGTGGATACCTTCTGACCTGGTTTTACCACCATTTCCTCTTGATGACTGTTAATTTAAAATTGAATGTGCTTTTTTAATTGAAATGAACTTGGATGAGTTGGCTTTGCTTTGACTGTAGGATGAAAGGTACACAGATCCTAATCAGTGTCTGTGTGATCAGGTACCAACAGGAGCTGCCCTCACTGATTTCAAGTCGGCCTGACAAACACGTCTCTCTATCAGAGCTAAAGAAACTGATGGAGTGGAAGCTCACTGTGAGTTATTATTTCTGGACTCTAAATCAAAAATGAAAACTTGACATTCAGGTGTGATTAGAGGTTTACGTCCCTTTATTGTGGGCTTGAATGTCATGGTGATTTGGGGCTTTTAATGATTTCTTTGGACTGTTCTTTTTTCCAGGGTGGAATGATTGCCCATAGTACATCATCGTTTATTGACTTTAAAAAAAAAAAAAGAACATTTTGTACAAGTTTGAAATTATTTTGGATTTTCACTTGCCCACACAGGGTCAGGGTTATACACACACCCCCACTAATATTTGGTTAAATGTCAACCTCAACCAGATCCTTCTGGCATAATTCTGGCTGAATATGTAATCACTCTTCGTGGCAGAATTGGTAGAGTTCATTTAAATTAGTTGGCTTCCTGGCACAGTCCCTACTTTTTAATTCAGTTTTATTTATAGAGCGCCAAATCACAACATTCGCCTTAATGCACTTTATATTGTAAAGTAAAGACTCTACAATAATACAAAGAAAACAGAGAGTTGGGGCTCTCTCTGTTGCATCTCCCACTGTTGCATTTTGGCAACAGTGGGAAAGAAAAAACTCCCTTTTAACAGGAAGAAATATCCAGCATAAGATAACCTCACCTTTACATACCTCTTGTGCTCTTGTCATTGTCATCAAATAGGTCAATCTTTGCCTTGACTGACCGTAAAACTTTTCTTTAAAAGGCATTTGGCTGGTCCATGTGGGTGGCTACAAATTTCAGTTGAGTTTGAAAGTGCTGACTTTGAGGCAGATCTTGTTTTTTAAAATCATTAAAGATGTATGCTGTACAATCATTACATCCTGGGAAAACAACAGTTCAAAGTAATCATTAAAAATCCAAAATCACCATGACATTTATGCCCATAGTGAGTGTGTGTAAAAGTCTGAGTACTTCTGTATGTTTCCTCAGCACTTGCTTCCTTTACAAGTGCATCTGTTTCACACATTTCAACCACATGCACCAGTAATTACTCCTTCAAACACGTAGTATAGCTTTGAAATAGCATGAAGAGTGTTAAAGCACTCCCTTCATCAGATGTGTCCTTGAGTGGCCCTGTGGGCTTGTCTGCAGAGAGGGAAGTTCAGGCCGAGGCTGCAGCAGCTGGTGGCTTCCAACAGCGAGGACGAGGTGGAGAAATGTTCCAGAAAGGCCTTCACCCTTCTGCCTGACGTGCAGGCCGCCATCGCAGAGCTCAGCTGCCTGAAAGGAGTCGGTCCAGCCACTGCTTCAGGTCGGCACACCATCTTTTCTGGGATATGAAGACAAACGTATGAAAATTTCTCTGTGATCCTCTCCAAGTTTACAGAACAGTGCTTGGATTGAGTAGGCTGTAACTCTCTGTACTCTGTGTAGAAAAGTATATGCACTTGATGGTTCAGCGTAGCTTGAGGCTGACTGTCCACCTTGTTCCAGCTGTGTTAGCAGCGGGAGCTCCAGAACAGGCTGCGTTCATGTCTGATGAAGCCATGGAGAGCGTACCGGGACTGAAGCCCATCCATTACACCGCCAAGCACTACACAGTGTACCTGGAAAAGATGACTGAGAGGACCGAAAAACTAAACAGAGGTAATGACACCAAGCTGGTTACGTCGTCATCTGCAGTATAGACACTACTCATTAAAATATCACATTGGCCTGTGTTTAATGTGCCATTTTAATGCCTTTATTATATATTTGAATGGTCGTGTTATGTAAAAGTGCTTTACCAAAAAGCTTTTGTATTGCCTCTCGCCCCTCAGTGGATCCGCTGCAGGACTGGACGCCCCACAGGCTGGAGCTGTGTTTGTGGGCGATGAGCATAGCCACACAGCTGCAGCTCCAACTTCTAAAGGACATCGATGTGAGGGGGAACGCAGCGGGGAAGAAGTGCTCCGACAGTGAAGCTGACCAGAGACCAACAAAGAAACTCAAATCTGCATAAAACCGAACATTTTACATGAATGCCGATTTAAAATTTGTAGTTTTTTCCTTTTTCCAAAATGATAATAAAACCTTTTTGTGGTAAAGTGTTGCGGATCGACTAATCCATCACGTGTCTCGGTTAAATAACGTCAAAAGCAGTAGGATGTTGCCACAGTATTGTTCTTTATTTATATTGTTTCTAAATTAAAGCAAAGTACAATGAACAGTACAAAATAAAACAAAATATATTCATATATATACACAATAGAAAATGGTTCCGTTCAGAATATTTAAAAAGTACAATAGATTGTGAAATCATTAATGAGGACTTTGATATAAATTATCCATAGGTAAATTTAGCTGTCCTTCAATTTCCTCTTGACAGAGAGGAAAAAAAATAGCTTCTTCTTGCCTGTTCTTTTTGTAAACGCTGTGTTGGTACAACCTCTTGTCTGGGTCTGAGAGGCTGAACCTCGTAAGCTTGGCACCATTTTATAGATACGAGTAAGCAGCTCATGAGAAACTACCAGAGCAGCACAGGTACGACTTTTGTCATCCTAAACTGTGGGAGGGGTTCAACTCTTGCTTTATGAAATGACATGTTTGCATGATATCGTGTGGCTCAGCATTTGCGATCATACTAAAGCTAGAAAATGAGGTTTCAGCAGTGTTCCCTCCTCTCCACCTTTTGTTCCATCTGTACTCTAAGACAGACTTCACTAATGACTGTGTGGTTTGCAAGTGTATCTTAAATTTTAGCAGCTAGGTGGGCCCTGACTATCATTTTCTTTTGTATCAATATTGAGATTAATGTGAGAAATCCAAACTAAATATCTTCTGGGGCCCTTTAAGAACCTTTACTAAGTCTCCTAAGGGTTTAAATGTAAATGTCCACTCACTCTTGTTTGTAGATCAGCTACAGTGCTATATCTAAGCAGAACTAAACACACAGAAAAGGCGACCTGGCCGGCCTGTTGTGGCACACAGCAGTTCAGAAGAGCTACTGGACACACGGATATTTGCACTGTGGTTTCCGTCTCTTATGGATTCTCTGCATCGTCGTTTAGATGGCTGTCGGCGAAGCAGCCTTTCTGCCTGGTGCTTTGCTTTGAGCTCATATATGTAACAAGGCATTGGGCGTACAGCACGATGGATTGGCATAAGAAGGTTAAAGGAAAAAAGCTTCAGAAGAATGATTATGTCAAATGAGACTATGGCACACAGCAACGTGTCAGTTAAGTACATTATAAGAAGTGCAAAAACAAGAAACAAAACACGCGTGACAAAAACCAAGAAGTCAGAAACAGCCAGTGTCGAGTATGAAGCTATAAAGTTGCATTTTGAATGAGGCGAGTAGAAACTTTTAGCCTGATCTCATAACGCAGTCATCGTGACCATTTTGAGACAATTCGGGGGAGGACGTGGATCATCTGTAGTGATGGATTATTGGCTGCTCGCGCCATCCCTCACAGAGACTTCCTGTCGACTGTCAAAAACAACTACGTCACCTAACGACAGCAATTAAATTAACATCATGCCGCCTTGTCAGATCCACTTATTAAAGGAAGACATCCTGTTTAGGGTCTGGCTTTGGGCTCTCGTCGTCGTAGCAACCATGTATCAGCCCTACTCTGCACAGGGAGGGGGGTCAGGATGGGGGAAGCTTCAGGTGTCTCTCACAAACTGTCACATGCTGTCAGAGCTAGAGTGTCCTCTCCTTTAAGATGAGCTGGAGGATGTAAAGCAGGGGCATCTAAGGAGGCGAATCCAGGTGTGTTGTTGCTGCGGTTGGCTCAGGCTCAGGGGCCAGGAGAGTTGGCTTACAGGAAACTGGTAAATTAATCCTAAAAAATTCTCTCCTACTTGGTTTTTTCTTTTCCTGCCAATGCTATCGAACGCTTTGCTCTTAAAATAAATAAATTCAAACACTAGCCGTTTCACTTTGTACAGCCTTTCACTTTGTTCCTGCATCTAGTTCTGGGAGTGGTTATATTCACAGTTGACGTGTTCTACAAAAACATAGCCATTGACTAGCCCTTTTTACAACCCTTTCGGGTTCCTATGAATCTTAAGTTAAAGAGGCACATTAACCTCCTCTCAGGCATCCGCTTTATCTTCATTATAGGCTAACAGGGTATGTATGCATTATTCATCAACACATCTTTGCTATCTCAAGCAGTAATATTTCCTAGTCAACACAAGAGTTTCCATCAGGGATACATCGCTATCAACTACTGGCTGACCTTGTCTTGTTTAAATGTATCTGAAAATGGCTTATTATGGCTATTTAACACCCATTCCCTCATTTAACATGGAGTCCTCTGTCACTACTGACAGTTTCATGTGGAAGCAAACGCTGAGGACGGCAAGACTGGCAAATGCTAAAAAAATTTTTTTCCTCCCTCAGGCAGCCAGTGGACATCCAAATGAATTATTGATTGAAAGACTGAAAAATGGAACGTAGCATTGAGTAAATATAATTGCCATCCTCGCCTCCACTTTCCAAAAAGCCCGAATCACTCAGAAGATAAAATATATGACAGGAGCCCTGTCCATAATTTGTTATTTGCAGAAGAGGAACTGCGGAGAAGCGTCTGCACGCCGCAGGGGGAAGAGAGTCTGGGAGATGTGGGCACTTGCAGAATTAAGCTGCATTGGCTGCAAACGAATTGGCGAACAAGTCATAAATAAAAAGGAAAAAGAAAATGAGTCTAGCTACATGAAAATATCTCAAACAGTCCAAGGTATCACAGGAGTATCTTCTTTTCATTTCACCTGCTGAATATTCACAAAGAGGATATCATTTTTCATCACTCTCCCTCTCACACACACACACACACACACACACACGCACGCAACCATGAAGTCTAAACAGAAGCTACCAGTCAGTGCATTTCAAACCAACAAATGTGTTTTTTTTCTCTCGTTTTTTTTCTTCCTCTACTTCTGCCGTCTCCTTTTAGTTCTTTCTATGGCTTATTTTGTAAAGCACTGAAGATTTATAAAACCAGGTGAGCTCGACTTGTTGGTGGTCGCCTAACAAACCCGGGGGATTCTGCCTCTCTGTGTTTCAGAGGATCAAAGCCATACAGGAGTCATCAGAAGGACAACAATCATAGCATTAGTTTTGTTTGCACCATTTTTCTCTTTTCCCCTTTAAAGAGGGGGGAAAAATACAAATAAATATACTCTTGGTTATGAACATACAATATACACATCCACGATCAAATGAAAAACGGGGACAACTTATAACACTTTTTTTTCTTTATAGGTACATTCCTTTACAAATGTATACAGTCCCTAAGAATGAGAAACTGAGGTATCGACCGGGCCTGACATAGAGACCCCAATGCCCTCTGGGAAACAAAGGTCAGAGGTCAGGTGATGACACATCCGTGCCCTCCCCAGTTCAGTTTGTCAGCGAGAACAGGCCAGTGTGTGTGTTTGTGTTGTTTTTCTCCTCAGTTTGCCCCAATGACCTGCAGAATCAGGCCGCGGCTACTCTCAAAGACAAAGAGGAGAAGATTGTGTGTTTGTGTGTGTGTGTGTCTTTGTCTCGCTGAGCGCCACAGAGCATGACATGGCATATTTTACATGGTGCGTTTAGCAAGTTGGTGGCTGAAGTCCGAGTTCGCTCGCCGAAGTGATGACCATCCAGGAAACTTCAGCTCTCGTTTTCTCATCTTTTTCTTTCCCTTCCTGTCACGCGGTCACTTTAATCTCCCACCTCCACGTGTTGATGTCATTGTGTGTTTTTGTATCCACAGTGTAGGTATATTAGCAAGGAAATAATACAGAAATAGTGACGTCCGTCTTTGTTTTTAGGATTCCGTGAAGCGAAAAATGACAGAAATTTTTCTAACCTTGAAATTGACAGACGTTAGGTAAGAAATCATGAATCTAAAACCTCCTCCTTCCTTCTTTCTTTCTTCCTGTAACAAATTTCTTTCATCACTTTTAACTGGTTTCTTTTTGTCCTACATGGCAGCTCAGTTCGAGGGAAAAGCTCTGCTAGTTGTAACATTTCTCAGCTGAAAATGAAACGAAAACATTATCTTGACGCTTAGATTTAACTGCTTTTGTGGGCTTTTATTGCTGCCTTTAAAAAACAAAAGAAAAAACAAAACAAGCATTTCCTGAAATTTCTCCTAAAATCCTCTCAGGCGGGTCTGATTTGTGGCACAGATTGAGGCGTTTCTAAGCGAAAAACACCGACACCTTATTAGCTTAAAGCGTCACTGCTGCGGCTGATCCCGATCTCTCACCTCTCATCCTTTTTAATTCATCTTCCTTTCCGCCCCAGGCACATGTCATGAGCTCAGATTCTTCTAATTTGGTTTTTACATGAATGAGAGATGCACTCAAAGAAATAAGTGACGAAAACTGCTTTTCAAAAAAAAAGCTTCTGATAGTAAAAGAGCACAATGGTTAAATGCTCATTGAAAGGTTAGTGCTGGTAATGTGGATGAGCTTTTTTCGTATATATATTTATATATATATATATAAAAATGATATTAGGCTCCTCAAAATGGATCTGAGGACCTTTCACCTGTACGTCTTGCTACTGTAATCCCTCTTTAATAAAAGAGACATATTTCTTTGATTTGCAAAGTATTTGTAAAAAGGATTCTTGGTCGATTTTTAGTTTAGATGATTTCATTTGGGTCGAACTTGAGAGGAAATGTAAAGTTAACTATGGTCGAAGGGGAACCTCTGAAGTCACCGTGTATATGACCGCAGGGGGGAGGGTGGGGCCCATCATCAGGGGGGAGGTGGTATCTGTACCCCCAGGAGCTCATACGCAAAGATGTTCCAAAAGATGGCGAAGAGAAGGAAGGTGATGAAGGAGAAGACGATGACCCACCAGGAGCACTGTTTCTGCAGACTCTCCTCGTAGCTGCGCAGGATCAGCAGGCCCATGCTGATGCCGACCACAGCCCCCGACAGGTGTGCCATAAAGCTGGGCTGCGGTCCGGAGGAGGGCAACGGCGGCGAGAAACGGAGCCAGACTGCACGACCCACCTCTGAACTCACTGCAGAGGGAAGAGGGGAGAAGACATATTTGTCACATCGGTGTCTGCTCATTAATGCAGCTGTGAGGAAATCATCTCCACATCAAAGTCCACATTTTGGGAAACATACTTGTGAAGGAGAGCGAGTTAGATGGGAAGACTGATACCAGTCTCTGATTGATCTGTTGATAAATATGCAAGGTGCAGGCAGCAGCTGATGAGCTTATCTAAGCAAAAAGACTGGAAACATGAGGGAAACAGCTGGCCTGGCTCTTTTCAAAGGTCACAAACTCCAGCTATCAGCAACACTGAATAACACATTATATCTAATTTATTCAATTCATAAAAGATGTTTAAAAAACAACAACAATTCAAAGTCAAAAAAGGAAGTCATTTAATGAGCATTTCTTAGGTGGGACCAGTAACATCCCGAGTTTGACATGATTGCATTTATATGACCGGGCATTCTACTAGTCTGCTAGGACTGGGTTGTACTTTCAGATCTGCTACAACACTTCATGGCATAGATTCAACAAGAGGTTGCAAACATTCCTCAGAAATTTTGGTCCACATTGACGTGACAGCATCACGGAGTCACTGCACATTTGCCAGCTGCACATCCATGATACCAGTCTCCTGCTGAAGTTGGCTGAGGCGTTAAAACAATACTCAGCAGGTACTAAGGGGGTCAAAGTCTACCATCCAAATGGTGCAGTAGAAATCAAGACTTGTCACACCACAATGTTTTTTTCAAATCATACAATTTTTTAGCTGACAGAAGCTCCGCCTGCACTCCTTAGACGTTGGAGGCTGTTATTTGAGTTACTGTTATCTTACTATCAGTTTGAAGTTGTCCAACTAATGTGGCATCAACAAAGCATTGTGACCCAGAGCAGTGAGAGAAATGTCTAGTTTCTCTTTTTCAGACCTTTCTTGTAAACATGGTTTACAAGATGGCTGTGTGGGGAAAATCCCTGCAGATCAGCAGTTTCTGAAATACTCAGACCAGCCCGTCTGGCACCAACAACCACAGTCAAAGTCGCTTAAATCACCTTTTTATCCTCATTCTGATGCTCAGTTTGAACTGTGGCAGGTAGTGTTCACAAAGTGGTTGGTAAATATATGAAACTCTGAAAATTATTCATTATGTTTGAGTGTTTTAATGCCAAATCTTTCAGGGATCTGTAACTTTAAGTCTATTCAGATTTCCACACACAGATTCTGAAAGAAGAACTTTTTATTGTCCTTAAGCACAAGACGCCACGTGCATCACTCACTTTGCATCATATAAAGATCAGACGCTAGGTCTGAGCTGGGCTAATGTGACTGCTTAAAGATGATCTGTGTGGGGGATTGTGCTAAAGTGTTTTATCAAAGTCTGCTTCTGCAGACAAAGGTCTCGGGAGGATTTAAATGGAACTTTATTCGAAAAAATTGCTTTCAAAATATTATTCGCCTGTGGTCGTTGGGGCTATTCCAAAGTCTCTTTAGCTGAACAAACACTCAGCACTGATCCTATAAACACAGAGCAAATTATAATTTGGTTTTCACAGCTGCACACACAAATAACTTGTCGCGTTTTATTTTGAAATATCCGTCCCCTGTTTGGAAAACACTGAGGAGAAATATGAAATTCCAGCAGAGACTTGCCGCTCTCTCGGTTCGGGGGCGGCAGGCTTTGGACAGATGGAGGGAACATATTGCTCACTAATGAAAGTCAGAGTGTATCGGCCCTCGTGTGGAGAAAAGGGACAAGTAGTATGACTCAAATGCTACGAAAACAAAGCAGCATGTTCAACCAGGGAGCCTCTCGCTCTGAGCCACTATGGATGATAGCTTAAGCGGCACATATGTTGATCGGCCTTACGTGTTTTTAACCCCACTCAGAACATGTATGAGCTATACTGAAGTGTCAGCATGTCTGCTTACGTTAAACATATGCTGAAAAAGAGCAGAAATAGAAACGAGAGTAAAATCTAGAAAACTTACTGCAAACTAGCGCCAGGATCATGCGGAGCAGCTTGTATGGACAGCGCATCCCGGCCCAGTTCTGCAACACAGAAGTGTCCTGTCAGCACAAACAACCACGGAATATCTGACCATGTTATAACAGCCCGTCAGGGAACACCTCACTTTCTCTCCTCAGGCCATATTTAGCCTATGAAGAAAGACAATCCACATCCACGACAGAGAGAAGCGGCGGCGCTTACACGAGACAGAGGCGCGATTATGCACCTGGCTGCTCTCCACTTACTGGTTCCAATCCAGTTGCACTCTATTAATTAGGACGAAGATAATTTAAGGGAATGGCAGAATGGACCAATAAGTAGCCTTTGTAAATCCCTGCGGGGGGAAAGAACAATGGCATCCTGTCTTAGAATAACACATTTACTTTCCAGGATGAATAATTGCACCAGTCCCATCCTTCCTCAGGTCCCCAGCTGTTGGGAATATGACCCAGCGCTTCTCTTTTTCTCTCATGGCACAAAAAGAAATGGAGAATACCATGTAAAATTCAGGAGGGGTGTATAAATAAAACCTGCTGTGACCGTAGGTTTAAAACAAGCCAAGAGCAGGAATGCAGGTAAAGTTAAAGCAGGTTTTTTTAAAAATATAAATGATTAATGTCGAGGAGGGGAGAGGTCAGCACAGCAGAGCGGGAGAGGAGGTCTGAGCTGGGAGTGATGTGATGTTGCTTCTGTCTGATGGGACACATTTCGCTTTGATGCTTCCACTCTTGTAGGAGGTGAAGAGCAATCTGTAACCGGAGCACGGCCACTGCATTTTGTCTGTTACAGGTCGTGTTATAATACTCAGGGGGCTGAAATGGAGAGAGACAAAACTTAAGAGTTGCTCACTAACTATAAGAAGAAAGTTTAATGTGGCTCCAAGACGGATTGTAAAGATTTTATCCAGAGCTGTACGTCTTCTAGGCAGTGAGGTACAGAGCCTGAAACCTTTCTGAACCTGAAAATGTCTTAGTTTCTTGAAATTTAAGAAGTCAAGATCGGAAAAGGTTTCAGAATTTCTTAACCCCTCCCCACCAAACTAGACAAAAACTCATCAGTGCAGAACTAAGAGGCGCCTTAAAGGATTTCCCAACAACAAACCGACATCAAGCGTAACAGACCAAACAAACTGTAAGCTGCTGTGAGCACACAGTTACAGTTACAGAGGCTTTGCGTTGGGCCCGTCAGCACGTTTTAATTTCCATTTCTGCTGGCGTCCTCGCTGCCCACAGTCAACAGCGATTAGTTAAAGCCAGTCGTCAGATGTAACACCGCCTTGAGTTTAGAGGAGGATGAAGAAGCCGCCTTGTGCCAAATACACATAATTGAATGCTGGGGAAAAGAAAGAAGGCTCTCAAAGCAGCATTGTGGGAATTCACTTCCTGTTTCTTCAGCGGACAAATAAAAACAGTAAAATACTTGCTCACTTGAGAGTTAATAATACAGATGACAAAAAAGAAAAAAGGAAGGGTCTAGTGTCTGAAGTACACCAGCCTTATACAACCTAAAGAATTAACCTTATTTTGTTAATAAGATGATAACAGATAACGAATATTGTGTGCTCGTGTGTACACGTGGATCACGTGCAGCAGAAAAACTACTGGGTACACTTTACAACCAGTAGTTTTTCCTGATTAATGTCAGAGGTCTGACCCAAGACTTTGTGGACTGGTGCCAGCTGAACTACCTCCAGATCAACGCCAGTAAAACCAAGGAGCTGGTGGTAGACTTCCGCAGGCACAAGCATTCTCCACTGCAACCACTGAACATCCAAGGTATGGACATTGAGGCTGTGGACAGCTACAGGTACCTTGGTGTTCATCTGAACAACAGACTGGACTGGACTCATAACTCAGACGCCCTCTACAGGAAAGGGCAGAGCAGGCTGTACCTGCTGCGGAGACTCAGGTCGTTTGGAGTGGAGGGCCCACTCCTGAAGACCTTCTATGACTCTGTTGTGGCTTCTGCTATCTTTTATGGTGTGGTCTGCTGGGGCGGCAGCATCTCTGCTGGGGACAGGAAGAGACTGAACAGGGTGATCCGAAGGGCCAGCTCTGTTCTAGGATGCCCTCTGGACCCAGTGGAGGTGGTGAGTGACAGGAGAACGGCGGCTAAGCTGTCATCCCTGTTGGACAACATCTCCCACCCCATGCAGCAGACTGTGACAGCACTGAGCAGCTCCTTCAGTGGGAGACTGCGGCACCCACGGTGTGGGACGGAGAGATTTCGCAGGTCTTTCCTCCCCACTGCTGTCAGACTCCAAATAAAGACTTTAACTGATCAAAGCACACACATCCATACATATGCAATAATACTAAGTGCAATAATCCTTTCTGTCATCGTTGTATTTTTACTCAGTTGTATATAGCATTTGTATTTGTATTCTATTTTTATCTTATTGTATATTTATTTTATTTTATTCTACTGTATATAGTATTTTATTCTATTCTGTACAGTTGTGTACTGTATTTATTCTTATTGTATCCTAATTTTTGCCTCATAACTTTTGCACTGTCCACTTCCTGCTGTGACAAAACAAATTTCCCACGTGTGGGACTAATAAAGGTTATCTTATCTTATCTTATCTTATCTTAATTTCCTTGTAAATACACGGGATTTCGTCTTTTTTTAAATTAAAATGTAGATATGTTTACCTACAAATACTTAAAGGTGGGTACACTAGCATGAGGAGGTAACAGGTCAGGTTTTACAGGAAACAACAAAGTAATTATACTGTAAGTAAATTTAACTAGTGTCTAATTAATTTTACATAGTCCATGAGTAATTTTTAAGTATTGGATAATTTAGTGGAAAAACAAAGGATATTCCCTCATCTTAAGTTGTAACACTGTACATTTCGAGGCACAGGACATAATATAGTGGCTTAACTTTGCCTAACTTTCAAGGAATTTTACAGTATAGTTACTTACAATATCATTTATTTATCATTTATTTCTCTCTTCTTTCCAGTCTAAAATTATTACAATTATTCATGTGGTTTGCTAAATTCTTTACACACAACTTAAAATAAATAAAACTATATTTACCTACAAATACTTAGACACTACTTCAAATTACCTTTATTACTACTTATTTCCTTGTTTGTTCCTTGTTTTCACTAAAACACAACTTGTTACTCACTTATTCTAGTCTACCTCTAACTTCTGGGTATTTTACAAGAAAGAAGAGAAATAATACTGTAAATAATTTTAAAAGCTGCACAAGTTTGTGATTTTAAGCATTTCTTAATGTTTCCACTTACAGGTATTTTACAGGAATGCAAACACAAATTATACTGTAAATAATTTTAAGCACATTGTGTCTCCTTTCCTGTAAAATATCTGGAAGTTAGGCAAGGTTGAGCCACTATATTAGAGAGCCCACTCCCTGAAAAGTACAACGTGAGTTTGGGAAATATTGTTTGTCTTTCCAGTAAATTACCAGGAAATGATGCAGTACTGCAAATCACTTACAGAACAATTTGTGTCTCCATTCCTTAATTACGCACTACTTAAAATTCCTTACACGCGACTTAACTTTACAGTATAATTATTCGTTTGTTTCCTGTAAAAGACAGACTTGTTACCTCCTTATTCTAGTGTACCTACCTTTAAGTAAGTCAAGATAAATATAATTAGAATGTAATTTCAAGTAAAATACGTTGAAATTCCATTTAATTAGAGGAGAATCATACCCTTGTTCACGGGCTAGTAAAGTAAAAACAAACAAACAAAACAGTGAAGTCCACGCTGTTGGTCTGTTCTGACATTTTGTCCCTACCAAAAAACGTTTTCAGACATAACAATGGAAGCGACGATGATGATGATGATTGCAGTTACCATGACGACATTGGCCAGATGTGCTGAGCACAGAGCGTAGACCCCCCCGGAGCCCCCCACCACTGGAGCACGCATGTCGGTGATGGACACTGTCAGCGAGCCTGCACAGACAGAAAGAGAGAAGTATATTAGGAGTGTAGGTGTGAGAGAGCGCACACGATGCAGACAGAGAGTGCGTTTTGTGTGTTTTAGTGAAAGAGAAACAGACAGCATTTTAGAGCAGAGGGGAAAAACAAAAAACAAAGGCAGCGTCAGTTTGCTCATCACGCAGCAGCACAAGTCACCTTCCTCACAGCATTTTTCCAACAGTCTCAGTGTTAAAATCACAACGCTCACAGGGGCTGTGCTACATCAGCAGACCTTCACGTGCCCTTTTATATTAAATCCATGGCCCACTCCTAAATATGTACACACACTCAGGCAGGTTTGCGTGCAGTCTGCTAAAACTGATTACATAAAAACGTAGAGGGCTGAAAAGTAATGTTTCCTAATTGGACTTTCCTTCGGAGGCTGATGTCTGATCAAAGCAGGGCCCGAAGAACATAGCGAAACCTTGCCGAGGAGGATAATGTCCAATTTGTGTGCTCTAAATGCTTTGTGTTAAATTCATGAGCGACGTCTAATCTGGGACGTGCAGATATGGAAAGAAGCCAAATGGGTCTAAAATGATAGTTTAAACATAAAAAAGAGTGGCAGTGACAGAGGGAAGAGCATAATGGCCCAACACCGAGTGACTGCACTCTTACGTAACGGTCACAGAATATGTTTTGACTTGTAACAGCAGGTGTAAATGATAAAATTAACAATGGCTGAATGCCATTCGCTGGCTCACGGTCACACTGCTGTGGCTTAGTGGGACAAAAACGGGATTATTTACACCTGCGCTTTTCCTACTATGACACGTCTAAACGCCTGCTATGAAGAGGCTCATTTCCCAACAAGCCGGGATCCAGCAGCAGTTATTTGATGCCTTGTGATTTACTCCTTTGGAGTGGCGCGCTTAAAGCCACTGTGTGCACAGGTGTCTTCAATTACTGTGAACCTCGGGTCAGGTTTGGCAGAGCAGCGTTTAAAAAGATGTGATGTCGTCTGAGTGTATGGCCTTATAACAATTACGGTGATGTAACCTGTCCCATCCTTACAGGTGCATTTCAAGGAGCTGTCACTCATGCCCACCCCGGATCCATGTTTAGAAGAGGTCTGATCAGGCAACAGTGGGTGAGCTAGAGCTGTGTGGAAGCTTTAACCTTCACCCTGCCTCATGATCTGTTTAAGTGAGAGCATTTTTCTACAGTCGACTAGTAATTAAATGGAAAAAAAGCGGCACTTACATAAAACACGACATGTTAAATTAAATTATATAATTCTCTTGGCCTCTCACTTGCCCTATGAAATAAGGATTTGCACCTACTGAGGCTTTATTTTGGTGCGCAACATGCAACAGTTAAAAAAAATAAGAAAATAAAGAAATTTATAACGAGACCAAAGGGTCACTGAAATTACAAACATTTACATCAAATGCGTGTCAGTCAATCAAGCAATTCTGAGATCAGTCAACGTTTCTGTACATGAAAGATGAAGATATAGTCTGTAGCAAATTAGCAGACATATTCTGCACTAATAGAGGTTGTTCTGGCTCGCACCACAGCTAGGGAACCTTGCAGCTGCTATTATTGTTACTTTTCAAGTATATGAGAAACTTTGAGTGTTTATGACGTACAATCACAGGCTAACTTATTAGAAACACCTGTTTAACTGTGCATTAACACACAGATATATACAATCAACCAATCACTTAGTAGCAGCTTGTTTAGGCATGTATTAAGGCATGTAGAAATGATACTGAACATGGCGCAGGATGGTCTGAGTATTTTGGAAACTCCTGATCTACTGGAACTTTCCCAGACAACCATCTCCATAGTTTTCAGAGAATGGGTTGAAAAAGAGAAAATATCCATCGAGCAGCTGTACTCTGTGTTGTTATGCAGCCGAGCATTTTTGAAACTTGAAGCAGATGAGCTACAGCACCAGGAGACCACAAAGGCTTGCTATTCGTGTCAGCTACGAACAGGAAACTGTGGCTGCCATTCAGATGCTAGAAGACTGGAAACATCATTGCTTGGTCTGATGATTCTGGACTTTTGCTGAAAGATCTTGTTTTCTGGGGTCAGAATTTGGAGCAAACAACATGGTCTGAAACACCCTGCCTTGCTTTGCATTGTAATGGTGTTTGGGAAGTAATTTCTTACCAATCTGAAGCAATTGTGTGATGCTTTAATGTCAATATGGAACAAAATCTGAGCAATGTTTCCAGCACCTTGTTGAATCTGTGCAAAGAAGAATTATGGCAGTTTTGAAGGCAAAAAGGGGGTCCAACATCATGCTAGCGAGTTGTACCTAACAAAAGGTCCAGTTAGTGTAAGTTAACAGTTATTCTATTAAATGTAGCACTGGCAGCTGGCATTTAAAAAACAAAGAAACAAACAATAATCTGCAAATACTGGCAAGGCATTAGTCATGTAAACACAGCTCCTAAAATTAGCCTTACAACAAGCAAAACCCAGAGAATCAAGTGACAGGAAATACGATGAAATAAATCCCACGGTTTGTGTTTAGTCCTGTTCCTTTGTCATCTGTCTCTTTCCTCCTCTCTTCTGTCATCTCTTTCCCCTCACCAGCCGGTGTTGGAAAATGGCTGCCCCTCACTGAGCCTGGCTCTAACAAAAGTCTGAAAACGGGATTCTTCCTACCCAAACATCGCCAAGTGTTTGATCAAAGGGGACCATCTTTTCATTGCTTTTCATCTGCTTCTAATATTGTAGGAGCTTCCCCTTAGAACATAAAATGCCTTGCTGACTGTTGCTCTGACAAGTGAGACACATTTCTTGACACCAGAAAAAGTTGAGCTCATTCTGCATCGCTATCCGAGCTCAAATGCTTGTGGGCTGCGTCGCATGTTCACACTGTCCCTAAGGATGCGTTTTGAGAGCCGTGCCTTCAAACAATGTGACAGCGAACTTGACAGCGCAACATTTTGCTATACGAGTTGAATGCCGAGGCGAATAAATGTTTGTTCACAAAAAAAGTAAGAACAAAAGCAGCCAAAACACAACACAAAATCACATTTACAGTGTTACGGTGTTTAAAAGGTATAACCATGTAATTGTTGTGAGAAAAAAGGATTGCTGTGACGCTATGAAGTAGGACAGAATTCCAGGCTGGAGAAATCACTGTGGCGGTTTGCTCGCGAGGACGACGTTAGCCCCTGTTAATTATGCAAATGAGCTGATAAGGGAAGCGGAGAGGGCTGATAAAACAACACAGCTTCTTTTTAATCACAGCTGGGATTTGCTGGAGTTGTGATCTCAGATCTATAATGCATGTTGGAAGATTTACATTCTGTATGTGTGTGTATGCACGCACACTGGGACTGCACAGAGTAAACACGGTCTTAAAGAACGACTTGTCAGCCCGCGGTGCTGGTGATGATCGTGGAAAGACAGATGGTAATCAGAATGTGTTCCTGAGCCATTCATCTCTCTTCGCTCTGACACCTATGGGCTATTTCATGTGGATTTATGGTGCATATGAAGGTTGGTGCTTCAGAAAAAGATTTGAGAAGATTCACAGTGGCCCATTTTTTGTAGCTCCACCAAATTGCAATTACACAGTGTAGCATACAGTATGTGGTCTCTGATCTCTTCAAAGTAAAGAAAAAAAATTGATTTGGAGCAACTTCAGCAGCATCAACTTCTGAGTTCCCCTTTTCCGCTTCTTCTGGGACTTTCCTGCAGTTAATTTATTACTTCCATGCATTAGAGCCGGGTGATATATTGATATGAGAGATATCATCTGGGATTTTAGTTATGCTAATGCAATTGTTGTTAAATATAGTGTTTTATTGGCCTTTGAATTTCAGTTTAGTTAACAGTTTCTAATCCATTTCCATGCCTGCCTGCAATTATAGCTGGAAGCATTATATTTTCCAGTAGCTCCATTATCCATCCCATTTTTTAAGGAATTCTGAGGAAATGGTTTTTTTTTTGTTTGTTTTTTAAAAAAACACATTTGTACCCAATGTCGACTATAGAGTGGGTTAAAATCGTTAACTAAAACTAACACAGAGGAACAGTCAGAAAACCAACTCAAACTAAACTGAATTAAAAAGAAAACTTCAAAATTAAACAAAAATAAAATAGTGCTGGTCAGATCTTGTGCACCTGTCAAGCTTACTGCTCATCCTCAGCTAATTCTTTGCTAGCACTCTGGTTGACACGCTCTGTTCAACCGACTTTAATACAGGAAAAATCAAATATGCAGCGGCCAGAATTAGTATTCAGATTGTTGGTATCAGTGCACCTTACTCAAAGACCTTTTCCTCCACATAGTTGTCATTTATAAACTGCTTGCTACAAACCTTAGCATTGCGGCTAGCTAGTGGAATCTTCCTTTCAGTGCAGCTAGTTAGCGATGAAGAACCACTTGCTACTTAAGAGGGAGATTACGTGGATAGTGCACATGCCCTTTAGACTGTTCTTTAGTTTCAGTTTGGCTATTTTCCAACTACTGATATACTGTTACTAGTTAGCTAAATTGAACTAACGTATGATTATTGGGCAACCAAACAAACCATCATGTACTTGCACAAGATGGCACTACATATGCTCCAAAAAGTTGAAGTCTAAACACTCTTTTCTTAAATCCAGCTTCACAGACAGTGTTAAATCTGTGACAGTGTTATATAATGTATTTTCTAATGTCTTAAAGTGGTTGCTCAACTTTAAGTTGCATTGCTTTTGAGAAATCACTTTACCTTATAGAAAATATTGTTTACATATCCAACAGAAAATATGAATTCGGGTCATATTTCTGTCACCTAACAAATGTAAAGTACAATGTTCACTCTCTCTTAAAGGGAACTATTGGCCCTTTAACATCTAAGTGCTTAGTTACTTTAGCCAAATATGACTGGTTGCAGTTTACTGCTAGGCTGATATCAGGCCGGTTAGCGTCAGCGCTTTTATGATTTGCATGCAGTAAAACCCAAAAGTTAAAAGTAATAAGTTACATCTCCTCATAGTTGTAGGGACTGCAGAGAGGG